TATGTGTGGGAGGTAGGGTGGATACCTAACCCCTTTTTGGGCTGGACATAGCAGAGAGAGAAAAATGTCTCAACTGGTGTTTTACTTAGAAGATGGCTTCTCTCTTGACACATTCCCGTACCTAACACCTTTTTTGGGCTGGACATAGCAGAGAGAAAAAAATGTCTCAACTGGCGTTTTACTCAGAAGATGGCTTCTCTCTTGACACATTCCCAGAGAGACCAAAAGGTGCATTTGAGATAGACTGGCATCATGTCCCCACATTCTCTTTAAGAGAACTACTTTGCAAATGGCCTCATACATGGATGACAATTGAGTATCCTGTTTCTTTGCTGGGCCCTGCGAACTCAAGTTAGGTTTGCTGCTCTGGGCCTATGTTTTGGGGACCCAAGTTCAATTTCCTGTCAAAAGCAGAAGTCAAGAATTGCAATGTAAGGGCTGTTTCTTTACACTTGTGGTATTACTTAGCTTCCTGACACTTGAGTAGATACACAGAACATTTATGCTCTTTATGCTAAATCCCATATTATCCAGCTCACCTGCTTTCTGTACCCCTGACTTCAGAAGCGAGGTGGGGGGGGGGCTACCAGAGACAGGGCTTTTTCTGTAGTGGCAGCTCACTTATGGAATGTGCTTCTGCTTGATGCTTGCCTGGCGCCTACGCTGCTCTGTTTTAGGTGCCAGGCCAAAATGTTTCTGTTCACCCAGACTTTTAATTAAGCAATCTTTTAGCACCACTTTAGTGCTTTAGTCTGAAAAGTGTTATTTTGGGCTGTTCAGTGGTCTATATTCTTATGCTGTGCCTGGGTTTTAGTGCTGGATTTTAAGCTTTTTTAAATGTTCTGTTTTTATTATGTTTTATTTTATAAGTGCGCTCAGGCAGGTTCCCTGAAGGGACATAGAAATTTGCTAAGTGTACACCCTGAGAATGAATCGGGGCCGCACAGAAAGAACACAGATATTTCTGCAAATTTAGGGGAACCCCCATGACTGCAGAAAAATTTGAAACCCTTAAAAATTTAATCTGGGGGATGTAAATCACCCCCCCCAAATAAAAGTGTTGTCTGTGCATGTGCAGACAACATAAAAACATACCTCCTCACTGGCTCAGGAACAGCAGCAGGGATGATGGGGGCAGGGAGCCGCAACAGGCCTAGTTACAAAGGCTGGGAGTAGCAGCAGCAGCAATTGGGATGGGGAATGGCATGAGAGGGGAAATACACTGAGGGGTTAAGTCTGTGCCTGCTCTGAGGCATGTATGTGGGAGGGAAGAAGCTGCTGCACAGGCGGCAGGGAAAATGACCACTGCCGTTGCTTTGTGTGAGAAGGGGAAGCTGGGGGAAGCTGCTGAGTAGGCAGGGGCTGCTGAGTGGGCAAGCGGCTGTGAAAGTTACCGCTGCCATTGATGTGACAGAGGGCAGAGGGGAGGGAGACAGAGAAAGATAGAAAGAAAGAGAAGGGAGAGAAAGGGAGATGGAAAGAACTTGAAGGGGGGAGGAAGAGGAAGCATAGGTGGGGAAATGGGATGGCCACTACCACAAGTTTCTTGTAGGTCCCCACTTGTCTTCTATTCTAATAGTGAAGTCGGCCAATCTTTGAACTCTGAACAGGCAAGACTGATCTTTCTACAAACTTGAAAAGGGCCCTAGGTTTGCAGAAAAAATGTGAAATCTGAAAAGAAATACATGGGGGG